CTGTTATGTCTCTTTATATCTGTTTGTTCGGACCGGACGGGTGATGCCAACATATATGCATGCATTGTTGCTGGTGTTACTGCCTTATTGTAGTAGAGGACCACATTCCAATCCTGTTAGAAGATTGAGTATCTCTAAGCAAATTGTATGATGCCCTTTTGCGATCCATTCATTTTGTGACACCCCCTGTTTGTTTTGGGACTGGAAGTTCCCGTACGGGCACTCCCAGGCCTTGGAAGGGACGATCTGGGGTTTGGTTTTCAACCAGTTTTTTGTGATTTATAGAAGATTGTAAGACTGGGAGATTGTGGATTTGGTTTTGAATCAGGATTTTGTGATTTATGGAAGATTGTAAGACTTGGGAGGTTGGGGATTTGGTTTGCAATCAGAAATTTGTGATTTATGGAAGATTGTAAGACTTGGGAGATTGGGGATTTGGTTTTGAACCAGGTTTTTGTGATCTCTGGAAGATGGGAGACTCTGGAGATTGGGGGTTTCTTTTCCAACCAGGTTTTTTGCGATTTCTGAAAGCCCAGAGACTCTGGGCCGTTTGAAGCTGCATGAGGAGGAAGCGTGGGGCTTCACCCTGAATCTTGCCAAAGATGTGACTTGGAGATAGATAGATCGCGATCGGTGATAATTTTGTTCACAGTCCATTATGACTTGGGTGCTTTGAAAAGGGAATGAATCTGGGTCCATTGTGTTTATCTATTACTGGTATGATTTGTAACTGTTCCATTGTTATACTTGGATTTCCAAACTGAGGAGATGATTAGGCTGTAACGTGAAAACTTGCTCCGTTTCAAAATAGTTCAAGTTATAGGATTTTTCAAAGTCAAACCTTTTAACGTTTGACCAAGCTTATATATAGATAAATCTGCAAAGATGTATGATGTTAAATATATACAATATGAAAAAATTCATTTCATAATAAATTTGATGAACTAAATATGGTCTTGTAGATGTTGATATATTTTTGTATAAGATACAGTTTGTCAAACGTAATGAAGTTTGACTTAGGAGAATAATAGTAGCACTCTCGTAATGAAGAGAACGAAAGAAGGTAAATTAAATAAAAATGCACTATATCGGCCAAGCCTTTGAGAAGATGCTTATATAAAATAGGAAAGAAGAATCTCTGTGGAAATAAGGTTCAATCCTATCTATGGGGATCCTCAAATTCAAAAATCATAACAACCGTGAATTTTTCAACCTCTCTTCCATCTAGCTATTTCCTATTTATTTTGACTCAATTATTATATGCAAAATAAAAGTAATTCAGTTAAAGTTGAAAAAAATCCCTATTGTTTTTGGTATTAACGTGACAAAGTATTTGTGGTCGTATTTGTCAGAGAATGGCTTTCATTGTATCCTAGGTCAAGGATTCATGAAAAAAAAACTACGCTATATATATAAGTACTATTCGGGCTATATTGTCGTTATAATTTTTATTTTATTTTTGCTCTGAAGTCAATGGGAATAATTCCTTTGACCTAGGATACAATGCTAATTTGTGCTCGTATTTTATTTTCGATTCTTTGCATTCAAATCACGAAACAAAACAAAAAAGTTGACCCTTACAAGCACACTGAAACTCAAACACAAAGGACCATAAATAACTTAGCCAATTTTTTATATGAGTACAATACTTGATCATATTTGATTTCAGAAAAGATCATTGTTTTTTTTTGTTTTCTTTAAAATTGCTAAAGAGGTAATATCACTGGTAGTCACAAAACTTGCATCTGATGTTCACTTTTAATGCTAATAAAAAGTTGCAAAATACGATCAATGGAGTAGTCATATAACTTGCGGGCAGCGTGCAGTTACGTACGGTTAAAAATCCCATATGAGGTGATAGCGTGGCCCGGCCCGGCCCTGTTGTGTGTAGTCCTGTTAACTGAACTTGACATTTGAACCTGTTAACTGAATGTGTGTGGTGTGTTAACTGAACTTGACACGGCTCTGCTTGTTTCCAAGACATGTGCACTGCCTTGTGTATTCAGGTGTGTCTTGGATCCAGGGGAAAGTCGTAATCGATCTTGACGTGAGTGCATCATCGGAAATTACTCTGACGAATCGAAGCCTTGGCCAACAAAGTACAAACTGAAAAAGTGTGCACTAGTTGTTAACTGAAACATTCATATTTGGGTTTACTTACAGAACTACTCCAGTGTTGAAATATGAATGTTTTGTGCAACACTAGAGCACAAGAACTTGCTGGTGATAGTAGACAATGGTGAGACAAGTTAGAAGATGTCAAGGACAACAAAGAGCCAGGTTGATCCATGTCATTGCCAATGCTAGAGACTAATTTCCTACGACGAGAGTTGCAACAGCCATGTCAAGGGGCAGGGTGACAAGGAGTGCTGGTGGTGCTGGACAAGAAGCACCTGAGTCAGTCAAGTGAGCAAGCAGAAAGAACAAGAAAAAGGCAGGCAATGCAAGAGGTGGAAGCAATGCTCCAAGAGGAGGCAATTTAAGAAGTGGAAGTAATGCTCCTAGAGTGGCAAGAGGAGGCTATTTGGAGCTGATGGAGCCATAAAGGCAGGAACAACCACTTTTCAATTTCATACAGGGTGAAGAGGAGGTCCTTTTTAGCCAGAATGCACCAAAAGCTAGCCAAAAATGCTCTCTATGATGAAGGTCGGTCTGATGATTTGCATGACTTGTTATCTCTCTAGTTTAGATGACAATACGATCAAGTTCATGAATGAACTTTTGGTCTGGCATAGTTCATGAATGAACTCTTTTCTCTCTAGTTTAGATGAACTGCTCCTATTGTTGGGGTTAAGAAGAACCAGATATGTCACTTTTGGTTTGGTTTTGTAACATGAAGCAGCTACATATGTCAGTGTTTAAATGTTGTCCAATTTATGATTGTGCAACATTTTAATGAAAAGCATAAAAACAGCAAAAATGTTGTCCAATTTATGATTGTGCAACATTTTAATGACAAGCATAAAAACAGCAAAAAATGTTGTCCAATTTATGATTGTGCAACATTTTAATGAAAAGCATAAAAACAGCAAAAAATGTTGTCCAAATTGGGCCATAATGGTGCTTAGAAATATTTGAAACTTATACAGGAAATCAATCATAAGTGTGGGAGTAATCTGGAGAATTTTGACCTCATTTCGATGAGCCATTTGAGAGAAACTTCAAACAGCAGAGTTTTCAAATTTTTCAAAATTGTCAGAAAAAATTGAAATTTCTACAGGAAATCAATGATAAGTGTGGGATTAATCTGTGAAAAATTTGAGCTCATTTGTATGATCCATTTTGAGAGAATCTTCAAACTGGAAATTCAAACAGAAAATGTTACTAAACATTTCAAAGTTGTCAGAAAAACTCGAAATTTGCACATACCTTTATTTCTGACTAGTCTGGGAAACTTTTGAGCTGATTTGATGAGCCATTTGGGCAAAAAAAAAAGTGAGTCCTACTCCTGGGCTCGAACCAATGCCATGTGGGAACAAGCAGCGAGTACATAGCCACTGGACGGTGGACCAGGTATGCCACGCTCCACCTCGTACGAGTCCATACATGATTTCTGACCGTCACTACACGCGCTCGCAAGTTATATTACTGGATGGATTTTAAAAACATCAACTTTTGTGACTAGTGGTGATCACTAACGGAACTATGGCAAGGCTCAAAGGGCCGTGACCCGCCCGGGGCTGTAGCAAAACAAAGTTTTACATGCAGTTTTTCCCACAATAATGGTATTGATTTTTAATTTGGTGGCATTGTTTTATCATCCGGCCCGCCCAATATTTTTTTGATAGCTCCGCCACTGGCAGTAATATTATCTCATTGCTAAATTATTTGACGTGCACCCGAGAGCACAAATGCATTCCCAGGTGTACCCCTATCTCTCCACAAGAGGATCATCTGGGCATGAACTATGGATCCATCACCACAAATATCCCATGACTCCACTTCGATAAAACAAATGAAAATTCCATGGTATTTGCACAACGAAAGCAACAAGAAATCCCCTCCCCCTTGTTGGACCCCTCTTAGACATATATCAGTACTTTTCCATTTTCTCTATTTTTTTTCTTATCTCATATCTTCAACATGCTCTCTTCTCCCCCTTGGACTAGCTATTTTTTTTCTGAATGAGGAGGATGTATCCTCTACAAGATCCCGTCTCATCCCCGCAGGCAGTAGCTTTTTCATCAGCTAGGGAATCTAGGCTAATGTGGCGGCTAGGGCAGCAGTCCAGCGGGGCCCATTGGCCATGCCCTTGCTCTTTAGGTGATCGGTCTTTGGGGGTCGTTATGTGTGTCTGATGGCATAGATGTAGTCTACTTTTCGTTTTCATGTTTGTTTTTGTGTGTGTCGTTGTGCAGGTGTGGTGAATGTTTGGCATAGGCTGATTTGATTTGGTTTTCGTGTGCCGTTTGTTCGAAGAGGTCTTCATGGTTTGATTGCGTTGAAGTCAAAGTCGTAGGCCGCAACCTCGATGGTGTGCGCGTGTCATGTGGGTAGCCAGATTGTTGGGTGCCCTTTGTTATGACATGTTGTAACGGTTTCGGCCTGGTTTTTGGTAATTAACAGCGCAATTCTCCTCTACCTTTTTTTAATAAGTCAGACTCGAAGAAACCATGTTTTTAATAATGGTGACGGATTTATATATCCACCAGATGAAGATGAAACATACAAGTCATTTAAAGTTTAAAAATTATTTATACTTCCTCCTAGTTGGAATGAGGAGCAGACAAATCGTGCAAGATACAAACTTCCAAGAAAAAAGAAGAGAAGGAGATAGTAAAGGGAGAAGAAATAAGAGGGCAGGACCGTCTTTTCCGTCCCCCGTCCCCCTTCTTCCCTGCGAGCACAGCCCGCAAGTAAAAAAGTAGGGTTTTCTTCCGCCGCTCCCCCCAATCCATCCATCCATCCATCGATCCCCATCCGCCGCCGCCGCCGCCGCCGCCGCATTCCAGCCCCCACCCCCACCCCGGCCCCCGGTCTAGGCCCCGCGCGCCGCGCCGATGGGGCGCAAGAAGAACGTCGCCATCGACGACGACGAGTACTCCCTGCCGCAGGACGACGAGGCCGCGCCGCCGCCGCCCGCCGCCGCCCCGGAGAAGCCGCCGCCCAAGAAGGGCGGCAAGAAGGGCAAGAAGGGCGGCAAGTCCGCCGCGCACGACGACGACGACGACTACGAGCCCGCCGCCCCGCCCCCGCCGCCGCCGGCGGGGGAGGACGAGGGGGACGAGCCGATCAACCTCGTCTTCACCGGCAAGAAGAAGAAGAAGAAGGGCGGCGCGGGCGGGATGAGCGCCTTCGACGCCCTCGCGGCCGCCGAGGACCAGGACCAGGGCGAGGACGAGCCCCCCGCCTCCGCCGCCGCATCCGAGCTCGAGGCCGGTAGGTCTGAGGCCAGCGGCGATCTCGACGACGTCGACCTCGATTTCGACTTCAGCAAGTCCAAGAAGAAAAAGAAGAAGGGCAAGGGAGCTCGCCCGTCCGCCGAGGAGGAGGAGGAGGAGGCTGCTGCTGCTGCTGCGGTGGCGCCCCCAGCTGCTGCCGAGGAGGAGGAGGAGCAGGAGGCTGCGGCCATGGTCGCCAAGAAGCCCCAGAAGAAGAAGAAAAAGAAGGGTGGGTTTACCGTGGACGATGAGGACATCGACAAGCTCCTGGCCGAGATGGAGGATCCTCCCCAACCCGCAAAGGAGGCTGAGCCGGAGGAGGCTAAAGGTGGGGATTCTCTGGCTGCCCCAGATGCCGATGATGCCGGCGGAAAGAAATCGAAGAAGAAGAAAAAGAAGGGAGGGTTTACTGTCGACGATGAGGACATTGACAAGCTCCTTGCAGAGATTGAGGACCGGCCTGCTGCCGCTGAGGAGCCTGAGCCCAAGGCAGGCAAGGCAGAGGATACTGTGCCTGCTGCTGCTGCTGCTGCTGCTGCCACCAGTGTGGATGATGCTGAAGGGAAGAAATCGAAGAAGAAAAAGAAGAAGAGCGGAAGGACAGCACAGGAAGAGGAGGATCTGGACAAGCTTCTTGCTGAGCTCGGTGAAGGACCGGCACCGGCACCGGAGAAGGAGAAACCATCCCAGGCACTGCCTTCCGCTTCAGCAGTGAAGGAGGACGCTGAAACTGTGGAGGATGGTAATGCAGAGCAGAAGGCCGGGGAAGGAGAAGTAGAGTCCGCTGCTGCCAAGAAGAAAAAGAAGAAGAAAGAAAAAGAGAAGGAGAAGAAGGCAGCAGCAAAGGGGACAGAGGCTAAGAAGGAGGAGGAGGAAAAGGAGCCAGAGGCGCCTAAAGGCAAGGTTGACATGAAGAAGCTCCCTAAGCATGTCCGGGAGATGCAGGAGCTTCTTGCGAAGAGGCAGAAAGAGGAGGAGCGGAGGAAGAAAGAGGAGGAAGAACGTTTGAGGAAAGAGGAAGAGGAGCGTTTGAGGAAAGAGGAGGAGGAGAAGAAGGCAGAGGAAGCAAAGAGGAGGAAGAAGGAGAGGGAGAAGGAGAAGCTGCTCAAGAAGAAGCAGGAGGGTAAGCTTTTAACAGGGAAGCAGAAGGAGGAGGCCAAGCGGTTAGAAGCCATGAGGAGGCAATTCCTTGGTGAGAGTGAAGTTCCAGTAGCTGATGGGGCTGCCCCTGAGATTAAGAAGAGGCCAAAGTATGATAGCAAGAAGAAAAAAGCTCAAACAAAGGCTTCAGAGGCTCAGAAGGCAGCTGAAGAACAACAGCAAGAGGTAAATGAAGCCAACATTGACGAGGAAGAGTATGTCATGGTGGACCAGGAATCTCAGTCTCCGGTGGCAGAATCTGAGACAAAAACAGAACCCGACCAAGAGGTGGAAGAGGCAAAACAAGAAGAGGAGGAGGAAGATGAAGATGACTGGGATGCAAAGAGCTGGGATGATATCGATGTGGGTTTGTCGAAGACAAGTGCTTTCGAGGAGGAAGAGGAGAAGGAGGACAAGCCTGTTGCCACGAAGCAGGAAATTTCTAAACCGCAACCTGCAGTGCCTGCTGTAAAAAATGTTGCTCCGCCTGTTGACAACTCTAAAAAGAGTGAAACTGAAAATGTGCGTGCCAACAATGGAGTTGCTAAAAAGAAAGGGAAGAAAGGATCTTCTAAAGATGACGATGCTGACAATGCTAGCGACCTCCGTTCACCAATCTGTTGCATCCTTGGTCATGTCGATACTGGAAAGACAAAGCTGCTGGACTGTATTAGACGAACTAATGTACAAGAAGGAGAAGCTGGCGGTATTACTCAACAGATTGGAGCTACATACTTCCCAACTGAGAATATTAGAGAGAGAACAAGGGAATTGAAGGCTGATGCTACTCTCAAGGTTCCAGGCCTGCTTGTTATTGATACCCCTGGTCACGAGTCCTTCAGTAATCTGCGTTCTAGAGGTTCAAGTTTGTGCGACATTGCTATTTTGGTTGTCGACATTATGCATGGGCTTGAACCCCAGACAATTGAATCCCTGAATCTCTTGAAAAGTCGAGATGCAGTATTTATCGTTGCTTTGAACAAGGTACCATTCTTTGGATTTTTGCCCCTTTGACCTTAGGCTTCTTGCTGTTCTGCCATTTACTTGTTTGTTTCTTATCACTGTATGAAGGTTGATCGTCTTTATGGTTGGAAGACCTGCCCCAATGCTCCTATCGGGAAAGCCTTGAGACAACAAAATGATGATGTCAAGTTGGAGTTCAATACAAGGCTTACTGATGTACGTGGACATTATTGCTTTCTCCTTTTCTTTTTATTATGGAAAGAACTACTAGTTGGTGATGTTCTAATCACATGTATGTGCTTTGTCCAACAGATTGTGACACAATTCAAGATGCAAGGTGTGAATACTGCTTTGTACTACAAGAACAAAGAGATGGAAGATACATTTAACATTGTGCCTACCAGTGCAGTAAGGTATGGTCAACCATTAATCTTTTTGGTTCATTCATTCAGATATCTGGCAGCAAGTACGATATTACTAGCATCTTTTCCTTAACACATAATGCACTTCTCCCTGCAGTGGTGAAGGCATTCCTGATCTGCTTCTACTATTGGTGCAATGGGCGCAAAAGACGATGGAAGAAAAGCTTACTTTTGTTGATGAAGTCCAGGTACTGTGCATATATGAGTTTACAAGTCATCACTATAGAAGAATGCACTTGTATGATCTTATCTTTTTCTGTTTAAGTGTACTGTGCATAAATATACTTGCTGTTTTAGAAGAATGCAGTCTTACGATCTTATCTTATTGTGTGTCAGTGTACTGTCCTGGAAGTCAAGGTTATCGAAGGTCATGGCACTACAGTTGATGTTGTGCTGGTCAATGGTATGCTCCATGAAGGAGATCAAATAGTCGTGTGTGGTATGCAGGTAAGAATCACTTTTTTGTGTAATTGTAATTGCTGTAGCAAATACATCAGCAGCACATGAAGATTCATTATGTTCTCGTTGTATATCTATTTAGGGACCCATTGTGACAACCATCAGAGCTTTGTTAACACCACACCCGATGAAGGAGCTTCGAGTCAAGGTGTGTGGCTCATTATACTGTGCCTTCATTTAATTTCTTATTTTACATCCAAGATATTGCTGTTCAACTAGGCTGCCACCTTGAAGATTCCTTCTCTTTTGGTGCTTTGATGACTGGGGACCTATTTATAGTTTTGATCAAAACATTTACATACTGGGAGGTTTATATTATGCATACTTTGTTCAAAAGATTTATGTTCTCATGTCATTTTGTGCCTATGTGAAAATAACAAATTAATGTCATGCTAACTCTACGAAGAAAGCTTAAGGGCATGCTTGGTTTGCAGCAATACTTTGCCAAATGTTAGGCAGACATGTGTGGCGAGTGTTTGGATGCAGCAGTCACAGGTGGCATGCCACACTTTCTTAGTCAGTCACCCCACTAGTCATAGACTCAGTTTCCAGCCAACTTTTGCCACAAGTGTGCTGACCAATTTGTCTGAGGGCAACCAAACATATCCTGAATATTTTCCACCTGCCGCCTTCTCTTTCTCTGTTAAGTTCGTTATGGGTTGAGTTTCTTCACTTCAATCAATGCCACTCACCAGCATGAATTTTCCCCTTCTTTATATTAATGTATTTCAATGAAAGGTAGTAGTTATATCTGTATTTCTTCATAGGCACCACCATGCTTACGCCTTATGAGGACACTTGAACACTTGCATATTATGATTCATTGCTTTCTTTTGCACTAAGATGATTTGAGCCTTGGTTTACCTTTTAAGTTTTAGTTGACTAATTCATTTTAACACAATTTCAGGGCACGTACCTTCACCATAAGAAGATCAGAGCTGCACAAGGAATTAAAATATCAGCTCAGGTGGGTTCATTAAATTTTTGGCACTTCAGAGTGTAAGTATCAGCCCACTTCTGAAAAATAACGAGTGTTCTCTGTCAGGGTCTCGAACATGCAATTGCTGGGACTGCTCTCTATGCTTTACGACCTGATGCAGATATAGAGGACCTGAAGGATGCTGTAATGGAAGAGATGTCAAGGGTTAGGAACCGGATCGATAAGAGTGGCGAGGGTGTCTATGTGCAAGCATCTACGCTTGGGTCATTGGAAGCTCTGACCGAGTTCTTGAAGAGCCCTGCTGTGAATATCCCCTTCTGTGATTTCAGCATAGGCCCAGTGCACAAGAAAGATGTTATGAAGGCTAGTGTTATGCTTGAGAGGAAGAAGGAATATGCAACTATCTTGGCGTTTGATGTCAAAGTGATGCCTGATGCCCGTGATCTTGCAGAAGAGTCTGGCGTGAAGATCTTCGTGGCAGATATAATATACCACCTTTTTGACCAATTTACAGCATACATTAAGAACATAAGGGAAGAGAAGAAGAAGGACAGTGCCGAAGAAGCTGTTTTCCCCTGTGTTCTTAAGATCATGCCGAACTGTGTCTTCAACAAGAAGGATCCAATTGTTTTGGGTGTCGATATCCTTGAAGGGATAGCCAAGGTATTTTGTTCGATCAGTGAAAATTTATATTTTCTCAATCCATTTTTACTGGGTTGTTTAGCTGAGAAGTTAACTTTCTATAATACCCAGCATTCTTAACTGGCCTAGATGAACAAATGCCAGTAGTCTCACCATCTAGAAAATTAGAAACTGTCATATGTGTCCGTAGACATGAATGTTATGTTATGTTATTTTTTCTCATACATCATGCTGTTTTTGAGCTTTGACGTCCTTCTCAAGCTGTTTTTCTAGAATACTTGCTAGTTGAGAATTAACCACCTAGATGACCAAATACCTCGTAATCTAGAAAGTGTCTTAAGACTTGAATATTATCATTGAGTGGTCTTTCCCCTGTCATGTAGGTGGGAACGCCTCTGTGCATACCCTCGAAAGAATTTATCGATATTGGGAAGATTGCCTCCATTGAAATTAATCACAAGCAAGTCGATACGGCCACAAAAGGACAAAAGGTGGCTATAAAGGTATGTATTAACCCATGTTATTTTTTTGAACCTGTCTGTATTATCCTGTGTGTGTTACTCTGCTCTTTTTTGTTCTTGTTAGATTTATATATCAGGTTTTGTCTGACATATGTTGTTGTTTCCTGGGTGGGTGGTGAGCAGATCATTGGGAGCAACTCTGATGAGCAGCAGAAGAGCTTCGGCAGGCACTTTGAGATGGAGGACGAGCTGGTCAGCCACATCACAAGGCGGTCCATCGACCTTCTCAAAGAAAACTACAGGGCAAGTCGAGCGTTTCTTTCTTGTTTGTTTGCATGTGCATTGATTGGTTCACCCTGTTGTGTGCCCATATACTCTGAGTTAGTGATATTTTGTTGACTGGTGACCAACAGGATGACTTGACGATGGACGACTGGAAACTTGTGATGAAGCTGAAGAAGATACTGAGCATTCCATGAGCCTGTTGACAAAAAAAAGAGCCGGCGCGACCCCATCAGCGAAGAGCCCCCCGAAGCCACCTCGGGTCGGCACGAGACACAGAGAGTGCGTGCATAAATTGGCGAGGGCGGTAGTTCTTTTTGTTGCGCCATTCCACAGACACGGTGTTTCAATTTTGATGACGATGATGATACGGTTGGTTGGTCGGAGAGATGATGCGCCTATAACTTTATTGCAAGTAATAACAGCAGATTTACTTACCTTTGGGAGGGAGAGGGAACCGCGCTTTTCTTTTTGGTTTTGATTGATGGTGTTTTGTTGTGATTTGGTGTGATTGAGGCTATGCATATTCCCGCACCTAGATTATAGGTAGAGTACTGGTTGGAATCGTTTCAACAAGGTGGCATAAAGAAGCAGGGTACCGAAAATACAAGTTATATAGTTTACTTTCTTGTCATCTTGTCTGAAGAAACTCCACAGGCTTTCTATCTAGGCAAACATCAGACAAGTTCAGAGTAAATTACAAGAAACCATCACATTTGTGGACCCTAAATCAAAAAGGCAACCGGTATTGTGCTGACAGTCGGTTGATAAGCAGCTTGCGTTTGACGCGAAACCTGACATGGCACAAGGAAGGCGGACGGAGGAGTGGTGTTTGGCATTTCGTCCAAGAGCTAGCAGGCCAGTTGGGGCGCGCGCGCGTGCATAGACGGTGGGAGCTTGCCGTGCTCCGGCTTGATGAGCACTCCCTGAGGGTCCGTGTATAGCCAGCCTGTACTACGGATCAACCGGAGGAGAGGAGCCTTCCTGCCCCGACTCCGACGATGGTACCGCCTTGCCGACGGGGATGGAGGTCGCGGCTGCCTCCGGGCTTGAGCAGGCGGAGGATGGCCATGGCGCTGGCCGGAGATGGAAGACGTGGACGAGCGGCGAAGCGAAACAACGAGGCGGCTGCTGGCAGTGGCAGGGAGGTCTCAGCCGGAGGAGCTAAGGGGGTTGTGGGAAGGAAGGAGGAGAGTGACGCGCCTGCGCTGCCAGCGATCGAGCGTGGTCACCGTGATGGTAACTAGCATAGCAGTTGGGGCGCCACCCAGTGGCGCCGCTTAGGAGAAAGCTGGACGGTGCCAGGTGGGAGGTGCCCCTTGGGCTGCCTCTTTTCTTTTGAGGTCAGTGCCTCGCCCCGCTTAGGATCATCGGAGGTTCATTATTAGCCTTGCCACACTGATGCATGGCTCCGGGTGTTCTCCTCAGAGCCTGAGGTGGTGAATTCGCCATTTTTTTAGGCCCTCCCTCCCTCTTTCCCCTCCACCGGGTTATTATGTAAATCACCGTGTACAAACTCTCG